GCGCATAGCCAAGCAGACTGACCGATTTGACGGTGCTGAACTGGACGGCGCCGAACTCGATGCTCTCTGAGCTGGGGAAAGCGGTGGCAATGCCGTAGACCTTGCCGTCTCGTTGCGTGTACCAGACGCCCTGGGTCAGAGTGTCATTCTGGTGCGTNCAATCAACCAAACAATCAATCTGGTCAAAGTCAAGCAACACCGGTGAGGTAAAGCACTTGTCACCTTATCACACGACGATCAAAATCATTATCATCAGCTTATCATTCGGTCGATTGAAAGTCTCCTATTTTTGTTTGATCACTGCTGATTAAGGATATAATGCCGTTATTTATTGGCAAGCAACAAAAAAGTAACAAAACACTTGTGTTAGGTAAACCAGGGCTTACTTGAGCTCAAACTCAAAAGTGTACGCGTACTTGACGGGCATCAGCGGCGTCAGGTGGGGCAGAGTGACCTTAGTGTGGCCCTTGTCAGCCTTCACAAAAGCAAGCGACGAGTGCGCATAGCCGAGCAGACTGACCGACTTGACAGTGCTGAACTGGACGGCGCCAAACTCGATGCTCTCTGAGCTGGGGAAAGCGGTGGCTATGCCGTAGACCTTGCCCTCTCGTTGCGTGTACCAGACGCCCTGGGTCAGAGTGTCATTCTGGTGCGTCCACGGCTTGCTCTCGTAGATGGCCTGTCCGTTGACGCCCAGCCAGGCGCCCAGCTGCAGGAGGCGCTCCTCAAAGATGGGCACAATCTTGCCGTCCTTGGTGGGGCCGACGTTGATGAGAACATTGCCGCCGCAGCTGACCGTTTTCACTACCGTAGCAATCAGCTCCTCGGGCGTCTGGTAGTCGGCCAGCGGCGCCTCCCGTCGGTATCCCCAGGAGTGCTTGTCAATGGTCATGGCGTTTTCCCACTTGTGCGGCAGAAGGGTGCCCGGGAAGTAGCGGTCGGCGCAGTTGAAGAAGCCGCCGTGTTTGCAGGAGGTGCCACTGCCCCAGCGATCATTCACCACCACTTCGTCCTTGACCGGCGACTCGTTGTACCTGCAAAAATAAAGTTGATAAGCTATGATTTTCTAAATTATCAACTCATTTATCTTACAGCCAGGCGAGAAAGTCAGTACTGTTCCAGTAGGCGTCAGAGGCCTCCCAGTCGCCGTCCGACCAGATGACCGAAGGTTTGTACATCTTAACCACCTCTTCCATCTCAGGGCGAATCTTCTTGCTGACAAAGTCGGTCGTCTTAAAGCCGTTTTTCTTGTCCGCCAGGTACATCGGATTGTACCACTCGTAGAGAGAGTGATAGAGGCCAAAGGTGAGGTTGTGGTGGCGGACGGCGGTGGCGAGGTCGCCCAGCAGGTCACGCTTTGGACCGACGTCCATGACGTTCCACGAGAAGGAGTACTTGGAGGGCCACATCGTGTAGCCTTCGTGGTGCTACAAAAAAGGCAAATTGATTGAGAAAGGAGTCAATCAGCTGATGTAAACAAACATAGTCAGACTTACCTTGGAAGTGAGCACGACGTACTTGGCGCCGGCTTTCTTGAACAGATCAGCCCACTTCTCCGGCTCGTAAAACTCCGCCGTCAGCTGAGGAGCAAACTCTTCGTAGGTGAAACCAGGCTTGTAGTTCTTCTTCATGAACGCCTCATAGTTGGCAGATTTTTGTGTGCGCCAGTTGTACCTGTTGAATGTGTGTTTTAACTGTGCTGTTCAAGATTGATCCGTAATAGTGTCGACTCACCAGAACCACTCATTGTTGAAGGAGGGCACCGAGAAGACGCCCCAGTGAAGAAAGATGCCCACCTTGGCCTTGTCGAACCAGGACGGCAGTGGACGCGAGTCAATGGACTTCCAGTTGGCCTCGTAGTGGGCGGCAGTTGTCAGAGCAGCCGAAATTGTCAGCAGAAGAAAACACGACACGAGGAAGTGGTGACGCGCCA